AAAATCTAGTTACTTCCAAGTTTTTGTTATTATAAATGACAACTCTAAGAGAATATCCTCGTACATATGGCTTTTCGCATATTTTGGATTATTTCCTAAGGATATATTTCAAGAAGTGGAATTACTGAGCCAAAGGGTATGAATAGCTTACAGGCTTGTAGTATATATCACCAAATTGCTTCCCAAGTGGGAGTAATCAATGTACAATGCTATCAGCAGCACGCTAATGTGAAAGGTAACAGTGTACCCTTTGCATCGGGTACTGGCATTAAAAAGTGTCATTTTGTTAATCTAATAGGTAAAGCATTACATGGTACATAAATTCAAATTACACACGAAGGTAAATACTGTGCCAGGTATCTGTTTACTAGATGGCTCTCTTCTTCGGTGAATTGTCCGGTTACATTCCTGGCTCATTTGCAACTGGAAACTCGGTGTTCCTCTTGCAGTCCGTGGACACTGTATAATAAAGCCATTAACTCTGAGGTTTGTAGCACTAACCACAAACTTTCCACCTTCCTAACCCCTACAGTCTGCCACTCAGTCTGCTGGTCTCAGTGGCATACCAGGGACTGGACAGTGGGAGCAGTCTGCCTAGGTATCAGCAACAAGAGGGTGCATTGTCTGTAGGGATTCAAAAAATAATAATAAAATCCACCCACTAAAAGTTGGTCTGCATTTTATTATCACCACATGTGAGCAATTCTAAACAACACCAGTGGTAAAATACTTCTCCCACCATACCCCACCCTCTTGGGTTGGCATTATTGTTCTTTTACAAAACTACGCATTTTCAATAGTGCCAACTGCCCAAGAAGTGAGGGCTCCCCATCAAGGGGAGAAGAGGCAGCCTTGCCATTGATTTTGAAGAGCATCTTCTGAACACAGGAACCTTGTTAAGATTCCGGTTTCTATCCTACAAGCTCAACTAGAACAGGGAGTTGTCTAGAGTGTTTTTAATAAAGTTGCCCACCAAAGAACTTTTCAAATGTGTGTATGTGAGTCCCCTGGGGATCTTATTAAAATGCAGATTCTGGGGCCAGCCCCATGGCTCACTCGGGAGTGTGTGGTGCTGGTGGTGCCAAGGCTGTGGGTTTGGATCCTATATAGGGATGACCAGTGCGCTCACTGGCTGAGTGTGGTGCAGACAACACCAAGCCAAGGGTTACAAGCCCCTTACCGGTCAAAAAAAAAAAAAAATGCAGATTTTGGTTCAGCACGTCTGGGGTGGGGTCCCAGATTCTGCGTTTCTGACAAGTTCCTACATGACATGATGACCACGCCTGTCCAGGGTCACACTTTGAATAGAGCCTAACGGATGCTGAGAATAGGCTATTGCACTGCCTCCCAAAGCTGCCCTTCAAGTCTGTCTTTCCTCCTCACACTGAACTGAAGCCTCCTAGTCGCACAGCACTCACCATGACAAGAGCACAACACTGAGCTCCTTCCCTTCATTACAATATTCCCAGAGCTTCCCTTCTTCTTGGGTCAGAAGACTTTTATGGTTTACATTCAGCCTACAGCTACCTTGGCAAGCACAAAGTCATACTGAGGAACTAGCACAGAGGCTCCAGAGACCCTTGTCCTTCTGCCCTGGGCTCTGTCAACGTTGGAAATGCCCTCCGTGGCTGCTCCCAGCCTGTCCACATTGAGCCAGAGCTCCAGGGCCCTGTCTTTGACCACTTTCTCTCTGTTCTAGGATCCAGGCTGTGTCCCAGTCACTCAAGCTGAGACCATCTGCAGGGAGGATGTTTAGTGAAATGGAGCCATGCCTACCGCAGAGGACTGCCCAGGCTCCCCCCACTGCCAGCCCCTCCACAAACAGGGGCAGTGTGCTCCCTCATGTGCAATGACTGCACCTGTTGCTTCTCCCTGTGGGCCTCCCAGATTCAGGCCCGGGGGTCTTCTAGGGCTGCACAGGAAGCATGCTGCACCTGAGGCCTGCTGAGTGGGACTCAACACTAGAGCGCCCTCTGGAAGGGAAGGGAGAAGGGACAGCGAGAGAGCAGAAAGTCGGATAGACAGCATTCAGATGTCAAGTTCCAGATAGAAACACAGGAGGGAAAGAGGGCAGACAGCTGCCTGGAGTTGTATGTTTTCTGTCAAGACTGTTGGAATGAAACCCTTGACTCCAAGTGTAGATTTTGTGCTCCTTACACCCATAGGACCCCCCCCCCCCAAATGCTGAATACATTAGTTACCTAGACTTGCTCTGTTCTCTCACTCCTGTGCCTTAGCATATGCTGTGATCTTTTAGCTCAGGTCTCAGCAAACAACAGCCAGAGGACTGAACCTGTCCATTGTGTTTATATAAATAACGTGTACTGCAACACAGCCACTTTGTCCCTTTATATACTGCCTGTGGCTCTTGCAGTGCAGGGGCAGAGTTGAGTAGTTGCAACAAACATCTTACATCCCACAAAGCCTAAAATACAAGGGATCTCCAAAAAGTTCATGGAAAGATTTTTCTTGTCTTTTAAATCCATTTTTCCACAAACTTTTTGAAGTGCGCTCATACTTACTATCTGGCCTTCTACAGAAAACATTTGCCGACCCATGTCTTAGCTCATTCTTTTAGGTCAAGCTGATCTCAATGACCTCGACTCCCACAGTAGCACTCAGCCACCCCATGGCCCAGCTCCCAGAGGCCCTGCCACCTTAGATATAGGGTACTGGGCATGTTTCTCTCTCTGTGCCCAGTTTCCTCATCTATAAACATGGGGATTATAATACCATGTCCCAGAGTTGTTAAAGAGTCAATGGAATAATAAATGCCAAGTCCAAAACAGTTGCCTGAAACAAATCAGGCACATACACAAAGCTACTCTTTCTACATCATGTCCATTTCTATTCTTCCAACATCTAAAGCACACCTGATGCATACTAGGCACACTACGTACTCTCAATAAATATTTACTCTTTACAGAAAAGGGGAGAAAAAGGAATTTTTTCTGGGGCTCAAGACCCAGGAGATAATCTGAATGTCCATCGGGGCAGCCTGCCTTTGAGCCAGGGGCAGGGTAAGAGTTGGGCACTCACTTGATGCAGGTTTCAGTCTAGGTAACCAAGGCTCTCTGAGGTTGCCCCAGCAGCTATAAAACATATGTCTATGCAACAAAAGCTATAAGAAGGGAATAAATGAATATAAATACCAGAAATGAAAGAACCAAAGGTTGGAAAATTCAGTATTAGGATGCAGGTAAAATACAGAAAAACTCTACAATTAACCCCCAGAGACACCTGAGTTTGAAGCCCACCATTCCACTTTGCAGCACTTGATATCCTCTCAGGAACGGAGTCATGATTGAATGAGATCATGTGTATACGCCTATATAGATTCTCACAGAACCTGGCAAAAGTAAGGACTCAACAAGCCAAAGCTAACCGTACAGAGAGCAACGTGCCAGGGAAGTAAAATACAAAGAGTTGCAGAGCCTATCAGTTCACCAAAGATAGGTGCAGCATGGAAAAGACCTCCTCTTTTGCAGTGGGGTATGCAGTGTGCAATCAGAGATCCAAAGCAACAATTGGTGTGAAACCCCTCCCTTTTCCAGGCCAGGTGTGCATTGTCTTCTGCGCTTACCACCTCAGATGTAGCAGCAAATGACAATCTCAAGCACTGTATTCTGGACTCAGCGGGTTCCTCTTGGACTATCAGAAATCCCCAGAATAAGGATTTTTAAAAATAGCTTTATTTCACTATTTATTTTTACCCAATTGCTCTGTGTTTTCATTATATCTGGAGCAGGTTCCAGGCTTGCGGAGCCTGACTGCTGACTCTAGCAGTGCCCTCTCAGATACCCAGCTCCTGGGCACTTCTGATGGCAACCTCTCCTTCTGCTATGCAGCTCAGCCCTTCATCACCAGCAATCATTACTGCAAGATTCTTCCTTACACAGAATCAAAATCTGCTCCCACGCCCAGCCCGGACCATTCACCATCTGGTCTAATTCCCATCTAAATTCACCTCTCAACTTCCCACATTTCAGAGAGTAATGGTTCTACTGTACATGGAAACGAAAGGGGCTGAAACGACAGACATGGAACTGAATCTGTAAAAAACCACATCACAGAACGAATTCATAGAATATATGCTCCCTACCACAACTTGGTTATCAAACAGTTATTTTTAGAAAATTCCAATTAGTACTATTCAGAAAATTATCAAAGCACGCATTTTACCAAAGCCTACTTTGTATAAATGTATCTGTTTCAGAAGAACAAACTACTGGAGCTGAAGCCAGTTACATTAAGAATCTACTATTAACTTGTGCTAGTTACATGCAAACGCTGCCACTGTGGCATTTCACCACGACACAACACACACACTCAGACACACATCTAACCATTCACCACATATGTACCACCTTCATGCCAGGCATCATGCAAGATGCTGTTTAGAACACAAAGTAGTAGTAAACAGCTCCTGCTCAAAAGCAAGTTAGGTTTCTCCACATCCAGGATTGCTGAAGCGTTTGTAAAGTTTGGGTGGAATCATACCTGATTGATGGTCTTTTCCATTTGTACCAGGCCCAAGTTGGGTAGTGTGTTTTTTATAAAGTCAACTATGGTTTCTAGGTTTTCATGTTGTAGAATCAAGGGTTTATGGCTTCCCAACAGACTTAAAGCCACTTTAAATATGACCTCTGATCCCTGAAGAAAGATCATATCTGAGAAAACACAGAAATGCGGAAAGTTAAACCAGACCAGTTTCTGAAGAAATACCATTCCATTTCCTTTTCCACACATCGTGGAGCAGGAGGGTGGAAAACATAACCCCAAATTACAAACTCTATTTCTTTTTTGAGAGCCTGATATTTCAGATAAGGTTGTCAAGGCAATACCACAAATAATAAAAATAATAGATAAACAGACTTTGTCAAAGGTTCAGATAAATCTTTTTTTTTACCCTGAAAATAAATTAAATTCAAACATGCTTTAAAAGTTAAATTGAGAAAGAAAAAGAAAAGTTTTTATTAGTCTATTTTTCCAGGATTGCTCTGGATTTTAAAGAAGTTACTAAACCATACGTTTTTTATGGGTAAAACTATAAGATTTTTATAGATACAGCATCAGAAATTAAGATAAAATAAGTGAAAAATGGCCTCTGTTTTCTGTTTTGAAATAAAGGATAGAATTAAAAGATCACTACAAAGTGTAAGACATCTGCACAACTGCAAAAGTACATTATTAAATACAAGTATACTCAATTTTAACATAAAAATGGAGTAAAAAATAGCTTTCCCTCTAAGGAGTTCAAACACTTTGTCAAGGTTACTTTCTAGTTCTTGCCATATTTTTATGTTAGGATGACTGGCAAATGTTAGCAGTTCCTACACTAGTTCTACATAGTGGCAAGCAGCCCAGGCAACTGGCTAAGCAGCAAGCCCAGCCCTTCTCTCCCTTCTTCGTAGAGTTGAAGCCATTGGAAAAGAGTCACTTATCCTGAGGCTAATGC